ACTGATCTGATCTGTATTTCCCAGACTAATGTGCACAGACATATGCTTCAAATTTTACACTTCACTACAATGAAACTGACCCCTTAACTATTTAACTTTTACATCAACTCCATGGTGGACCATTTTCACAACATGGATTTCCAGGCCCCTTCCCCCAAAAAACTAGCAGGAAGACATATTTTCACTTTTTTTTTGCACATGATGCAATGGATGTTCTCAAGAATGCCCACTGGCCTTGAAAGAGCACTGACAGCACTAACACAATAGTGAAAAGCAGTTAAACTCCAACTTAATTACTAGGCATGTGCAATCCATTAAAAGGGTGGTTCTAATATCCTTCCAAAATTAGGGGGCACTGGTGCTTCATTTTTAAAGTATATCTGAATTTTGGGGCTGAAAATTTTGGAATTTTAAAAATGATTATAAAATACATTAAAAAAAATAAAAAAGCTACCTCCTTGTATTTTCAAGAGAATGACACAAGGTAATAGGGAATAATTCCTCCAACTTTCAGAAATATTCATACATCTTCTGATTTATAATTATTTTTTACAAAGTTTTGACAGAAATGTTTTTTTTAAAGGCTAATCATTGAATGTCTCTCATGTTAACCAAAAGAAGAACCCAATTTCAACCAATTCCTCATTTTCATAGAATCCTGAAGTTAGAGGGGACCCCCTAGGGCCATCTAGTCTAATTCCCTTCTATCTGGCAGAAAGACAACATCAAAACTCAACTGACAGATGGCCATGGATTACTGGGGCTTGTTTTGTTTTTCAAGGTGGAGTTTTAATTATGTGAAGACTGCAAATCAACAGAGTTTGTACACTTTAGTCTTGAAATGGACACTTCCGAATAAAGTTGTAACTGTGGCCTGGTCCCTAAAAGTGAGGGGCCAGGCTTGTTTCTCAAAGTAGAGTCTTAGATAAGATATGAATGCAAATCAAGTGAGTTTGTAAATCAAGTGAGGGTCCAGGCTTGTTTCTCCAGCTGGAGTTTTACTTATGAGATGAAGACTGCAAATCAAATGAGTTTGGACACTGAAGTCTTGAAATGGATACTTTCAGATCAAGTTGTTACTGTGGCCTGGCCCCAAAAAGTGTGGGCCTTGGCTTGTTTCTCAAGTTAGAGATTTAGTTGCGAGATCAATTCAAAAAACAATATTGTTTCTTAACCTGTAATATTGTAATGGAAAGTAAAGACCAAAAACCAGGAATCTTTGTGGCCCCTCATTTAGATAGACATATTAAAACAATGCAATGTGGTTTCTGAAAATGTAATATTGATATATTTGAAAGGGATCTGAAGCTGCATGGAAAATGTTTGCCGCAAAGTTTCATGGTGTAGTAGAATCAAATATGGTGAAGACTTTTAAACAGGACTTTTAAACAGATGTCTTAAAACAATCTCCTTTAAGCACAGTGAAATTCTAATTTGCTGTTATTTTGTGGTGAATAGGGACTGCCTGCTCTCTTTACATACTGTCCCAGTCTAGCGTTTTTGAATAAGCCAAGATAGGCAGTTGGATAATTGGATCTGGACAATTCTCTCTCTAACTCAAAGATCATGGTGCCAGCTTTGTAACTGTTGAGTAATGAGCCAAATGTTTTCATTCCAGATATTGGAACAACTTATTTGTCAAAGTTAGATTCAATCAATCTCTATGTTGTCCTTGCAGGCAAATCCTTTGGTTTTTCTTTTTTAAAAATCCAAACAGGGCTATACAATGTAAGCTGTTCTGAAGCTGAAGGAATTATAACCTTAAGAACTCCTCAATCAACTTCGACATACGACAACAGCTATGTAAATTGGAAGCCCTTCCACCTAGGCTTTATGGACTCCCAAAAATCCACAAGGGCTCCACCCTGCTCAGACCCATCGTGAGTGCCATTGGATCCCCCACATATGACTTAGCAAAATTTCTTGCTGCACAGTTACAAAGCCATATTTGGCTAACTACACACTACATCAAGTACTCAGCCCACTTCATTGAAAAAATCAGCAATCTCAAGCTAAATACCAACGACAAACTGATCAGCTTCGATGTGGTATCTCTATTTACCATGGTCCCGGTAGCAGACACCATGGCACTCATCAACCAGAGGCTCCCAGAAGACATCACAGCTCTGTTTCACCATTGCCTCACCACCAGCTACTTTCAGTGGGACAATGAGTTCTATGAACAGAAAGATGGAGTAGCTATGGGGAGCCCTCTCAGCCCGGTCATAGCTAATTTCTACATGGAACACTTTGAAAAACAAGCCCTTGAAACAGCAACCAAAAAGCCCACTATATGGTTCAGATATGTGGATGACACTTTCACCATTTGGAGCCATGGAGAAGAAGAAATCAACAGGTTCCTGGACCATCTTAACAGCATCCACCCAAAACATCCAATTCACCATGGAAAAAGAAAATGAAGGAAGACTGCCTTTTCTAGATGTCCTAGTCATCCGCAAACCAGATCAACAATTGGGTCACACCGTTTACAGAAAACCCACACACACGGATAGATATCTACATAAAAACTCCAACCATCACCCAAGTCAAAAAAGAAGCACCATTAAAGCCTTGGCAGACCGTGCAAAAAGAATCTGCGAACCCCACCTTCTCCAAGATGAACTGAACCACCTAAACTGGGCTCTACAGGCCAATGGATACTCCACCTCAGACATCAGAAGAGCTGCAAGACTGAGAACAACCCACGAGAAAAGATGAAGATCCACCCAGAGGAAAAGTGTTCTTGCCATACATAAAGGGAACCACTGACCGCATAGGGAAGCTGATGAGGAAACACAACATACAAACTATCTACAGACCCACCAAGAAAATCCAACAAATGCTACGTTCAGCAAAGGACAAGAGGGATCCTCTCACCTCTGCAGGAGTCTACCGTATACCATGCAGCTGTGGACAAGTCTACATAGGGACCACCAAACGCAGCGCCCAGACACACATCAAGGAACATGAAAGGCACTGCAAACTACTCCAACCAGAGAAATCAGCCATAGCAGAGCACCTGATGAACCAACCTGGACACAGCATATTATTTGAGAACACAGAAGTGCTGGACCACTCTCACAACCACCATGTCAGACTACACAGAGAAGCCATTGAAATCCACAAGCATGTGGACAATTTCAACAGAAAGGAAGAAACCATGAAAATGAACAAAATCTGGCTACCAGTATTAAAAAACTCAAAAATTACAGCAGCAAAACAACAGAGGGGAAACAAACAGGCACATGAAATCACTCTCAACAAAAGATTCCCCCCAGGCGCTGCCAAGCCATTGAATGCAAATCAAGGTGATCAGCTGAAACATTCACAGCTAGCCCCAGCAAACAAAAGTCCTTTGTCTCACCCTGGTCATTCCACAGATATATACAAACCCATTTTTCCTAGTCCCAACAGAACTCATTACCTCTGAGGATGCTTGCCATAGATGCAGGCGAAACGTCAGGAGAAAAATTGCCTCCAGAACATGGCCATATAGCCCGGAAAAACCTACAACAACCCAGGAATTATAACCATTTGAATGCTAGCCATGTCTTCTATTTCTGTGTTTCAAATTTGTTTTTTTTTTTGTTATGTTTCAAAGAATATTATTTCTTTTTTTTAAAAAAAGCTTTGATATTTTGTTTTCCCCTTAAACATATATCTATTAAAATACAATTAGAATTAAACAGTTGAAATCCGTGTATGCAACATGACCATTTCCCTACTAATAATAAAAACGGCAAGTTCATCTCAGAACAAAAAATAGTCAGCTTATCAAAACTATTTTCCTCCATACTTATGCTTGGAATTGCACCCCTGTGCAAAGCACCTCTGTAATATATCTTCATTTGGGCTCCGTCGAACACAGTGAATTGAACATGTAAGATATGATTAGTCCTGGGAAACAGCAGCATCCTTTTTGCCCTATGATTCAGCCAAGCTAAGAATTTGGAATGATATATTTCAATGCACTTCCATAACATCATGCAGTTTTTCTCATCTGTTCTGGTCTTATATGTAATGAAACTGCCATATCCATTAAATACTGTAGTTTTTCATGTGCATGCCATTGATTTCCCACCTCAAAAGTATCATTGAGGCTGAATCAGTGGAGCCCAGTCCATTAGTGCAAATGAGAGAGCCAAATGTTAGGTGTAACCTATCCCCACCCATTCCAAATTTTGTCCACTCCTTTCACTTTTAACAAATCTATGAGATTGTCAGTTTCATCCTTAGTCAATCTCTCAAATTTGCTTTTATAGAGGTCAACTATGTTGGCCCTTCCTACAAAGACTCACTATATTAAGCTGAAAGGTACAAGAGGTTCTTCATGGCCAAGGTCTCTCATCCTGCAAAGAAGATACACTTCCAACTATCCCAATTTGTCAGGAATAGTTGTGATTAATCTTCTGTTCACTCACTATTTCAAAAGGTTTGATAATTCCATAGTTTTTCTCTCTTTTTGGACTTTCTCCATTTGTTTTCTATTGACTTCCAGTGATGGAAACTGAACTCAAATTCCAAATGTCATTCAGAATCAGTTAACTCAGCAGGAGAAAGAAGTGAGGAGAACAGTGGGATACTCTTACCCTTCCCAGCAGGCTCAGGCAAAGTTGGACTGCTATATTCTATCCTAGTTTGTCTGTTTTTTCTCATTAATAACCATCTGTATTGATTATAGCCACACCCATCCCAATTTTCATCTGTGAAATGTTAGAACTATAAAATGCAGAAAGTGGAGGACCAGGAGGTGGGAAGAGGGCAGATTGACAATCCTGGATAATGGATTCTTATAGACTTAAAAGAGAAGCAGCAGACTTCTCTGCAATGTTTTAGTGTGTTGGTCACTGGGCTGGGTAGACAAGCATGGTTTAAATCAAGGAGCAAATTTGTTGCTGCTTCACTTTTCATTTTTTTGATCCCTGCAAAAATCTTTTGACTGCAGTCCAACTCTGGAGAAGAAAGAATAAGAAAATACGTTTTGTTTTATTTTCCTGCAGAATTCAGGGCTGCAGAGAGAAGGAAAACTGCCTTGAGGCTAATTCTCATTTGATTTCATTTGGACTTGGAAAAACAATAATACTTTGATTGCTTGGGCAAGGATTGCTATTTGGTGACAGAAACTATCTTCATTGTGTAAGTAAACTTCAAATGGTCTTGAAAGACTATATTCAATATCTTAAAAGAAAAAGTTCATGAATAGGAAAAGCTATGCTATGTGCATTTGTCATGTATGTATGTTTGTAAAGTTAAAACTTCCCTTGTTTTGCAGGCATTAATAAGCAGGGCACCTGGAAAAGTTATCTAAGAGTGCATCCACATTGTAGGTACAGCAACTTCACACCACTTTAATTGCCATGGCTCAGTGCTATGGGATCATGGAAGTTGCAGTTTTACTTGCCTGAAGCCATTGCATGCATGGAAGGAAACATAAATGTTTACCTGAAATAATTACACATACCATTTCACGGTTTTAGACTTTTTGCTCTAATCATGGAGAAAAGGGTCTCTTATATGTATAATAATATGCTCCACAACAGTATCTTTTCCTTTAAAATTGTATTTTAAAATGTTTTTTTTTTAAATGTGTTAAATCAAGGTAAGTATCCTACAGTTCTCCTGTAACTCCAGCAATTTTTTCACAATTGGGTATACTAGCTAGATTTGCTGGCCTGTGCAATCTCACAAATTCTGAAGAGCCACACAATTCTTGTTCCTGTTTTCAATATTTATTGAATGTGTGTATTATTGAGAATAGGAGGAGAAATCCTGTGGTCCATCATTGGACAATATCACATTAGAGTTCTAAAGCACTCGCCCTCATTTCCCAATTATCTTTGTGCTGCTGCAGAATCCCAGGAAATGTAGTTTAGGGTGGAGGCTTTGGAATTCTCAGCCAGAGTCATCCTTGAATTTACTAAACTACATTTCCCAGAATTCTGCAGGAGCAAACAAGGTGATTGGGAAACACAGACCTGTGCGTTAGAACTCTAATGTGATATTGAATCATACAGTTGGAAGTAATCACATGAGTTATTCGGTCCAACCCATCACTATGGAGGGAAAGCTCAATCAAAGTATCCCCAGCAGATGGTCATCCAGCCTGTTTAGCTTCCACCACACTTTGAGTCAGAGAGTTCCTCTGTAGGAGAGTCTTCCCAATGTCCAGGCGGAATCTCTTTTTCTGCAATTTAAACCCATTGCTCTGAGTCCTAGTTTCTAGGGTAGCAGAAAAAAAAGCCTGCTCCCTCTTCCTTATGGCATCCTTTCACATGTCCATGTCTATCATGTCTCCTCTCAACCTTCTCTTTTGTAGTCTAAACATACCCAGCTCTTTAAGCCACTCCTCATAGGATGTGGTCTCCACGTCTTTTGATCATTTTAATTGGCCTCCTCTGGACACCTTCCAGTTTGTCAATATCTTTTTTGAACTGTGGTGCCCAGAACTGGACACAGTATTCCAGGTGAGGCCTGACAAAAGCAGTATAGAGAGGCACCATGCCTTCCCTTGATTTAGAAAAGTCCACAGAATCTCCATATGAGCACTGATTCAAAACTAGATGTCTTGTGCTGCATGTGTATGTGCATCTGTATAGGTATCTGTGCAATATCAGTCTTGACTGGCAAGAGTCTAGCATATGTGTACAACATTTGTAAGAATAGTATTTTCTGCATCAGTTCCCCCAAGAAACCAACTCATTTATTGTACAAAACTTGTACACCATAATGTATTTAGATATTTATTCAAACACAAGCAAAACAGCACAGAAATTATGCATGTTAATTTGTCATTCTCTTTTAGCAACTAGTTAGCAACTCAGCCCAGAAACTGACAATATTCTTCTTTGGTGAACACATTCCAGATACATTCTTAATACTACTTCACAGCCTTTTGAAGTACTGGGAATGAAAACAAAGTACCAGTTCATAACTAAAATATCCCCGTGGATTTAGGAATGTGAATGTGTTCTGGACTACACTGAAGTGCTTATTTAGAATTAGTTCTTAAATTCTTCAATAGGTTGGCATTGTCTACTCCTCATTCCTCAAAAGTCATGGGTTAATTTTTAAATGACAGAATATGCATTCATTTAACAGCATTTCTAAAGTACATTGTTGTGCAATCAATGGAGACATTTATACTATATAAAGCAATCATATCTCTAATGAAGGAACTTTTTATTACTATTTTATTATTCAGTTTTTAGTCAATTTTTATGACTTCCACTGCTAATACTTAATAAAGTACTTGACTTTTTAAATCTATTGCAGATGTGTAAGGATTATATATTGTATATGTGTGCATGTGAGAGAGAAACAGAGAGACTACACACAAGTGTATATCTATATATGAGAAGCATACTAGCATTTAAACAGATGCAACTAATAATAAAAATATTTTATTTGGACAAAGTGAAAGATACAGCAACCACATATTTTCCTGTTCTATCTATACTTGGTTTGTGCTTCAGAGGATTCCTAAGCTGGGGTCCTTTTTTGTGCCATTATGGATTCTTTCAGTTTTTGTTGGCTGGAGGCTGAGCAAGGAGTTTATGTTTTCACTCAGAGGAACTTTTCATCAGCTGATAGAAGAGATTTTAAATTTTGGAAATTTTAAGCTGCATTTATTTGGAAATTTTAAGCTGCATTTCACCTGTGTGTATTTGTTATATGTATTTTAAGTGTTGTCTCACCTCACTATTTTAAACTGTGTTGTACCCCATCTTGTGCCACATGAAGAGGTAATAAATAAATATTAGTTAGGCATTTTCTAGATCTTCCAATACAACTCTATGGTATTCTTGGGCTAGAAGTCCTTCATTTTAGTGAAGTTCACTATTATCTATGGTTTCATGTAACCTTTATTGTATCTGGATATACCACCATTTAGCCTCAGTCAATGACACCATTACTATGCGAGAAAAAGATATTTAAAACCTCCACATCTCTGTTTCTTTATAGTTTGAATAATTTATACTACAATGTTTCATTCTTCACTCTTTTTCTAAAGAGCCTTAAACAATAAAACATTTCCTCATGAGGAATTGCTCTAGTTCTTTCAAACTTTGGTTGCCCTTTTCTGTACCTTTCCTGTCCTACAATATCTTCTTTAAAGTGTGATGAAGAGAACTGCATCTAGTATTCCATGTGCGCTTGCCCTGTAGAACTGTATAAAGGCATCATGATATTTGCATTTTATTTTAAATTTCTTTTCTAATGATCCCTAGCATGAAATTTGCCTTTTTCACAGCTGCTGGGTTAATATTCTCATCAAGCTACCTACCCCAACTCTAGGGTTCCATTTTTAAAAAAATGTAATATGCTTGTAACTTTTTACATTAACAAAGCAGAAGCCGGAAGAAGCCACTGGAAATGAATAAAAACAATGAAATGATTCAGCAGATTGAAATGGATAACAATAACCAAGAATGTCTTAATTTTCAAAAATGAAATGGTGATTGCCTGATTTTGATGTAACTAAAAACAGAAATTAAAACAAAAGCTGATGATTAGCTTACTAATGTGGCATACACCAGTAATTTGTAAATCAGATAAATTATTTGAATAAAAATCAGCTGAGTACTGCTGTAAAAACAGGGCAATCAAAGTCCATTCAATTGCTGGTTTTCATTAAAAGTCTCAAACATAAATTAACAGTTAGATTTCAAGATGAATTCCAAGCTTAATCTCAAGTAAAATTGAAACAAGAGCAATATGTTTAGTGCAGAGAAGAAAACGGCAGTCAAATACACTCTCTTACTAAAATGTGAAGTGTATTTTTGTTCTTACTCAAAGATCAATGAACTGTACCGTTAGAAAATCCAAGGAATTGCCTTTTAAAGTCAAAAGGTCAGGACTGATTTTGGCAGAGCAGCTACTGAAGTAACCTGATCCTTATGGATTATTTCCAGTTTGATAGAGAATTTGAAGAAAATGTTGGCCTTGAATATAAACAGGAGAGTACATAATTTCCTTTTACACAGAACAAGCTGCCATTTTTTCTGACCATTTCTTTTACATATTTTCATGCCTCTTTAATTGTTTTTATTTGTTCGTTTTGGGGGCTAATGTAGCTTGCTCCTCCATTATTTGAAATATGTTTTTTTCCCTCTTCTACCTAATAGAGTGGAACGTACAGCCAACTATAATGGAGCAATTGGACTGAAAGCTGGTGTGCATCCTAAAGGCAATTAGATGCCAGGATATTGTTCTGTGACGCAGAAGGAAAAAGAAAAGAGGTCCTTGCTACCTTACCTTAGTGGAGGGCATGTATGCAGCATTTAAAGACAATTTCCAGGTTCCCCAATCAAGTGTGTGTTTATCACTTTCATGCCATTTTATAAAATCAGAAGTGATATTTGAATTAATACTATTTAAAAATATCCTATTTACTTTAATCTAATGGTCACCTTTTTTGGCTAAAGGATCCCACCAAAATTAGGGTGTACATTAGATCTGTGTCATATGGTAAACTTAGTGCTGAGCCAAAAGCAAAGGGGAAGCTGTTTCTGGAGCTGCACTTGGAGCTCCTATTTGTGGGACGTCATCTCCAATTTAACTGTCATGGCTCTATTGTATATGATCCAGAGATTTGTAATTTGGTGGGCCAACAGCTTTCTTTGGTGGGCCAACAGCAGAGAAGGCTCAAGGTCTTGAAAAACTACAACCCTCAGGATTCCATAGCTTTGAACCAAGGTAATTAAAGTGGATTCATTCCACATCTGAGATGAACTCCAAGGTTTTATTTTCCATTGCTGGTGCTCTAAGACTTTTGTTTTTAAAGAAGGAATTCTAAAATTCCTGCACCAGCTGCGCCCGTACTTTGGGAAGTCTGATCTGGCCACAGTGGTCCATGCTCTTGTTACATCCCGAATAGACTACTGCAACGCACTCTACGTGGGGTTGCCCTTGAAGACGGTTCAGAAACTTCAACTGGTTCAGCGAGCGGCTGCCAGGCTGCTCACTGGAGTGACATACAGGGAGCACACCACCCCTCTGCTATGTCAGCTCCACTGGCTGCCGGTGCAGTTCCGAGCCCAATTCAAGGTGCTGGTTTTGGCCTACAAAACCCTGTACGGTTCCGGTCCAGTGTATCTGTCTGAACGTATCTCCCTCTACATCCCACCCCGGAATTTGAGATCATCTGGGGGGCCCTGCTCTTGACCCCACTGCTTTCCCAAGTGAGGCTGGTGGGGACGAGGAGCAGGGCCTTCTCAGTGGTGGCCCCTCACCTGTGGAACTCACTCCTGGGGGAAATTAGGGCATAAACATCCCTCCTTTCCTTCAGGAGGAAGGTAAAGACGTGGTTGTGGGACCAGGCCTTCGGGCAATCTGCTAACTAGATAAGGACAACCAGACGAATAGGACTGACAGGACTGACAATTGTGGAAGTGGAATATGAACTATGAGATAGTGAACGTTGACCGGCAATAAAGAGTAATTGGTTTGTATTGGTTTGTATGGATTTTTATTGGTCTTATTGGTTTAATCGGTTTATAGATGTAATGTATAATTGTGGTCTGATTGTTAATTTATGCTATTTTGTTCTATTACTGTTTTATTTTGTTTTATTACTGTTATATGATACGGGCATCGAATTGTGCCTTGTTTTTGTAAGCCGCCCTGAGTCCCCTTCAGGGTGAGAAGGGTGGGGTAGAAGTAAACCAAATAAATAAATAAATAAAAAGGCAGCAACTGTAATAGCCAAATGACAAAGACTGCAATTTTTGCCACAGCGCATTACACTAGCTAGCAAATACTTGTTTTGGTTTCAGGGTTTTGAAAATTGAGGTGTACATTAGATTTGATAATGCATTAGACTTGAGCAAATAAGGTACTTAACAAAATTATTTGCCTTTCAAAATGTGTGCAGTCATCCTAAAGTTGATAATGAAAAATGAAGAAAAGTGCACATTAAAACAATAAAAAGTATACACAGAAGAGAAAGTGAAAACAAAGCTATGTATAATTGTCTGTAAGAACAGTAAAAGTCTTGTAATCCAAGATAAAGCAAGAATGGAAGAAACTGCATATGGGATTTGGAGAAATGTAACAAAAGTGAGACTGGAACATTTTTACATTTCTATTCCTGGGCTTGTCAAATTTTCCGCTGCTCTTTTTCTATGCAGCTCTAAGGAGACAGAAAACCTTACTTCCATCTTAGATTAACCTCACTTTGTGTTATATCTGAAACCTGAATTATGGCTAATCTTAACTATGAGATCCCGAAACAGGCTTGGTCCTTAAACTATTTGAAGCTCTCTTATTCCAAATGTGATTATTAGGATTCACCATAGTTGGTTTCAGATGATATAATATCTGGAAAGGAGGTATGCATGAACTTAAAGATTGCCTTGTCTTGATCTTGTAATGCTCAACTGTGATTTATTATTATGTCCAAAGCTACAATACCATATAAAGAATGGTTCTACAATTTGTAACTGCAATTCCAGAAACAATTTTCATCCTAAAGCCACTATCAGCCTATCATGCTCCAACTGGAATCTTTGGATAATACGATTCACCTTTATTTCTTCTTTTGCTGATAGAGTGATCTACATCATGCTTCTTTCTTGTCACATGAAGAAACCTATTATATCTATATGCTATAAATTTCCAAGATTATCTCCTGAAAAATGGGAACACAGTAATTTCATACAAGTGCAGAAACACAAACTTTATTTTTTATGGTAAACAATTATAAAACATTCTGGGTTAAAAAAAATTGAGATGCCACCACTGATTTATTTGTTTCAATTTGGTTTTTTTTATGAATCCAATGAATTAATGCAACTTTCTGAATTGACAGAACTTCAAGAAAGCAAATTTCAGGCTATCCTCAATCCCTTAAAGAGCAGTGTTTGGTGACTCTTATTCCTATTTAATAACTAAATATAGTTAACAGAAAAACTGTAGTCCCCTATCAGGAAAATAGCAAAAGTTAGTTGTAGCCAATCATTTATGCCAAATGGAAAAATCCTGCCAGGTATGCAAAGCAGGTCATTTCTATCCACGGCAAGGCACTGAAACAGCTTTGTCTAGTGTACAGTTGCAATCCAGCCAATGGCAACATAAGCATACATACTACTTAAGAATGCAAAGTGTCTATATTTAATTACCACAAACAAGAACAAATTTGTGCAATTTTCAAAGACTACTTTGGACTTTGTGTTTTAAAAATGTATGTTTTTGCACATAAAAATGCATCTACTCTGCAGAAAATGTTTCCTGGACAAAACCCAGCATTCTTTGTATGAAGACACTTCTACATAGAAAATACTAACTTCTGTAAATGAAATTTATTTTTGTGGAGAAAATTCTATGCTCTTTGGAAGAAAACCGATTTCTATACAGAAAATGCAGCGGTCCAGAAAATACCATTGTCTACAGCAGGGGTTCTCAGACTTTTTCAGCCATGGAGCCTTTTTTGAAGCAAAAGTTTCTCATAGAACTCCAAGAAGTAAGTGTGTGTGTGTGTGTATGTGTGTGTGTGTGGGTGTGTATGTGTGTGTGTATATATATATATATATATATATATATATATATATATATTAGGCCTGTGCGGTTTCGTTCGTTATATTCTTAATTCGTTAAACATTCGTTAATTTTTGCATATACAAAACGATATCAAAACATATTTTCAAACCCGGAAGGGTTTTTAAATATCGAAACGGCAACCCCCACAGTTTTAAAATGTTTTAACGAGCCCGTTTCGTAAATGGGGCGGGCGGGGCGAAGGGGCGGCGCGAGCGCGCACCCAGTGAGCCAAGCCCCGCCCCTGCCTGTTGGGCGCGAGCGCGGCTCCCGATTGGCCGGCCCGCGCGCGCTCGCCCTTAGGGCACTGGTGGAGTTTGGGGGAAATAGGTCCATCTGGCAGCCCTGGGTCATAATCTGCCATGAACGGAGTTGAAAGAAGGCCAAAGAGAAGCGGTGGTTTCGGGTCAGATTTGCCAGCAAATGCGAAGGGTTGGAAAGAGCGCGTTGCTAGGCTGTCTTCCTAAAGCGGGGCTCCTGGGCAAAACGCCCGGCCGGCGGTTGGGGAGGGAGAGTCCTCCTCTCCTTCCTCTTCCACGCGGGAGCCGCAGCACCGGGGCCGTGGCGCCTGTCCGCGCCGAGCCTGTCCCGAGGTCCCTTGCCCGGCCGCCCCCTCCTCCTCCGGGTGGCTTTCTTTGCCCTTGTCGCGGGGTTTGTCCCCTGTGCAAACAACAGGTTGGATATTGTAGGTGCGGGTTATTAAAACGTCGCGGGGACAATGGCAGTCTGTGTCCCATTCGCCACGCTCGGCTTCCTCTTTGGAAAAGGGCGCGCACCATGGGACGCGGGGTTGCCTTCCAAGGGGAGGCAGTCTGCATTGCGGCCGCGCCAGCCCCGTCGCCCCGGCAACCAACGCCCCCCCCACCCAACCCAACCCCTCGGAGGAAGGAAGGAGGGAGGGAGAGAGGGGCTGGGGGCGAGCAGGGAGCCCACAGACCGGGCTCAGCTCTCCCAGGCCCAGCAGACCCGGTCCCGACTCCCGAAAGGCCCCTGGATGATCCATGTGGGTGTCTTCCTGATGTACAGGTGTGCAAAAAGGGGAAAGGTGTCGCACAGCCTGAGCACCCCTTGGCCAGAATGCCAAACACCATCAATGATTCCAGGGGAGCGTGGTACTTTTGCTTCTTGATGGTCCAAATGTACACACGTGCAGACATATTGCAAAGACTGCACAGGTTGAAGGTAAAGGTTCCCCTTGACATTTAAGTCCAGTCGTGTCAAACTCTGGGGCTTGGTGCTCATCTCCATTTTTAAGTCCGTAGACACCTTCAAGGTCATGTGGCCAGCACGAGTGCATGGACAGAGGCAGCCCTAGGTAATTTTCAATTTTTTTTGTCCTGTCAGGAGAGACAGGTGTGAGAGAATTGGGCACTGGTGGAGTTTGGGGGAAATACTAATAGACATTGACATTTGGGAGTTGTAGTTACTGGGATTTATAGTTCACCATTCTGAACCCCACCAACGATGGAATTGAACCAAACTTGGCACACAGTTCTCCCCTGACTAACAGAAATACTGGAAGGGTTTGGTGGGCAGTGTCCTTTGGTTTTGGAGTTGTAGTTTACCTACATCCAGAGATCACTGTGGACTCAAACAATGTTGGATCTGGACCAAACTTTGCCGGACCAGGCTTCCCCCTCTTTCCTTCTTTCCTTCCCCTGGCCCCTTTCTCTTCCCTTCCCCTTCCTTCCTTCCCTTTCTTCTCCTTTCCCCTCTCCTTCCCTCCCTTCCTTTCCTTCCTTCTTCTTTCTCTCCGTGGTACACCGGGCCAGGCGCTGCCTCCGCTTGTTCTCCTGGCACGGCTGGGAGGGAAGCAGGTGGCG